AAATATAAATTCATTTATTCTTATTGACAGACTTTACTAGTGTTGGTGTAAAACACAAATCATACAAACAAATAGTAAAGGGTTTGTGGCTATAAGTTTGCGATGTTTTCTCAAATATAAATCAATGCAAGCGATACTATAGTTAGCATCAGAATTGCTATTTTTTATCAACAAAAAATTGCCGGAAATGGTATAAAATGTTAAGATTTAAAACTGTAAAGATTTAATAAATTTAAACTTGATAAACATACCATTATCGGGGCTCGAGTTTGGCCTAACTATTACTTTTGTTTAAGTATTTACAAAATTGTTTTTTAACACTGTTGGCATTATGGTGAATTTTATCTGCTGGCAATTGTATTTGAAACGGTGTCACAGAATAACAAAATGTTGGTTAGTGCATTCTCAACTAGTGTTTGACTAGCATGGTTATTTAAATGACAAGTTTTATCGATAGTTGTGTTGTGTATGAATTTATTAAACATAAATTTTATTTTCGTTATCAATTTTCAATATTCATTTCCTTATCGGCACTTTTACCACATTTTATACCAAATATACTGTTAAAGTGCATTGAAATGTAGCAATAAAAATATTTATTGTTTTTGTTTTTAACATTGAATTGTGTGTCAAAAGCTTAAGAAATAAGCAAAAGTTAACAAAAAGATAAGAATTGATACAAACTCTATGGAAAAAATTAATAAATTACCAAATGCTTTTATTTAAAAGTAGTGTTAGAAATAAATGTACACTGTAATTGAATAATAGAAACATTTATGTTGTAAAAGACATTCACTTCCTATTATAGTTATACCATATTAGGATGTTTTGTTCATTAATTAAATGTTTGATAGCATCACACTTTGAAATATTTTTCCTGTAATTAATAAATAATTTGTTAAATGCTGTCTAAACACCAACTATTATAATATTATCAACAAAAATGCTTTCCGATTAAAAACCACTACAATATAATAAAAACAGTATTTTATTGCACAGTATGTGACATGAATTGTGTAAATCTTAAGTCTATTACAACCAATAAATTTTCATTATTGCTATAATTGTTTGACTTAAATCTCGTTAATGTTAAAGCATTTGATACAAAAACTTTTTTTTAAACTCAGAGATATACTAACAAATAATATCCAAAATGACCATCAGTGTCCAGTTTCTCATTTAAAGTGTTCATTATTTTCATGATGATATCCCATTTTTATCTAGATTAGAAAATACCAAATTTTCAAATCAACCCAAATAATAAAAGATAATAATCATGTTATAGAAATAACAGTTAATATAATTTATATAGCGTTCAATAATAAATAATATTTACTGTTATAATATTTTTTAAACTAATGCTTAATAAAATTTAATTCATATTACATAAGAAATGATAACTCCTTTTAATAGAAATAAGGATTGAGTGCGAAATTGTAGTGCATATAAGAGACCTATTATTATAGCATTTTATGCCACTTAACAGAAATATAGACTTTAATTAGGCTTAAAATTCATGTTAACTGAAAAGTGTTGACAGAATGAGATAATAAATGACTGCAAAAGCGTTTCGGGAATGTATTGTAATGCAGACAATGCTATACTCCTATAATTATAGTATTATTCATGTTATTATATAATATATAATGCATTTCTTGTGAATCCAAGAGAATAGACGGTTAGAGTGAATACTGTATTCACAAGACTTTGTGAATATGCGGAAGAATATTATATAATATTAGATAATATTATAAATTGAAGTTTCTTATGATTATTTATAGGAAATATATTGTAAATTGTATTAAATAATTGAAAAGTGTTTGGAGTGAAAGGTTAATGAAGTAATAAAGTTTGCGCTCTAAAAGCTGGTAGTGATGGGGATATAGTATTGGATGGCATTTTGGGAATAAGACATAACATTTGGAGGCAAACCATTTATAAGTCATCCCTAGTCTATGATTCATAACTTATGATATGATTCATAAAAGTTGTTGTGTTTATTAGGCCTTCAATTCCTGATACAGTATTGGCTTTCATTTATTAAAGTGATCACAAAGTATAGCAAAAGTATAGATAAATGTATAGCGAATACTGTGGCGATGTATCGCATATAGTGTTCCGCTTAATAAACAGATAATAATTAGGACCGACTTATCTCTAAGTAATAAAATATTATTAATTTAATACTACTTTTGCTTTTGTAATATCATATGAGAGAAAGACCTGAAACGACCGAAACATAAATTGTTTGTGACGTGAAATGCAATTTCATTTTGGTTTCCAATTGGATTTGGAGTTAAATATATTTGTTGAGAAATTTGTTGTTAAAATGCTATCAAAATCTGATTGTTTGAAGGATTTTATGTAAATAAGAGTTGCGCTAAAAGAGGAGAGACAGTCGTGAGTCGTTTGAATGGGTTTTGTGCTTAGGATTTGATCGACAATGAGATGATTGGTGTTATATTTCATGGGAAGAGTAGTTACTGTACGCTATGTAAGAGTCAAGCATTTGAGGCAAGCAATGCATGACAGGCACTGATGGAGGGACTGGTGCTGGCGGTGCTGGTGCTGGCAGTACTACATGTCTGAACAGTAGTTCTGGGATGTACTGCCTCTACTGTCTCAGTGCTGTTCACTACACAAGTGAATGAGATGTTTAGCTCTTTGGATGTATGGATAGTCAGTCAGTCAGTGGTATCGATCGGTTCATTGCAGAGCATTTCACTAGACTATTGGCGTAACTTAAGAAACACACAAAATGCCAACTTATGGCACTTCTCCACATCCAATGCCATAACCGATGCCAATGCTATACAATACGAGTGCCGATCCAATCGACACCGAATGAGTCGCTAAACACTGGTCGCCATTCAAACCATTCGCACCATTCCTACCATTGCCTTAATTGTGCGATTCATCGCCACTGAGTCTTCGCTCTAATCGTTAAACAAATCCAATCAATGCTCAACTCATAGACGTGTTGACAGAGAGTTGACGACCAGTTGTGCTACTCTTTCGCAAACACTAACCGATTCTCGATTTCATCTATCATTTGCTCCTCTCATCCCTGACTTAATGTTTGACGTCTCGATCGTCTCCACACCAAAGACAACACATAGCAGACAACGGAGACAGCGATGAATGTAAAACTTACCAGAAGTGGATGCAAACGAGCCCTCACTCTAAACAACTGTGCCCTCAAAGTGAGCCAAATGTGCGCATATATAACATGTAAGTTAAATGTTTTACACAATAATAGCTTTAATGGGTTACTGTCTTACACTTGCTTTCACTTCATTCACTAAACTCTCATATCTATTGTGTCTAACAAAATGAATGAGTGAATGAATAACTATACAAGAATTTGTCTCATTTGATGCATAAGTGTAATGGAGATCTGCTTTCAGGCATACTTATCATCGGCTTATTCTCTGTCATCAATTCAAACGGCGTTCAAAGCCGTGATTTGCCGTCTTTTGCGGATCAACTCAACAACATTACAGTAGCCGTCGGACGAGACGCCGCTTTCCAATGCGTTGTCCATAACTTAAAAAAGGACTTTCAAGTAATCCTTTCGATTCATAACTTAATAACACATTTATATACTTTTTGTATTTTTTTGTGTAACCTTTTTTCGCTGACATAATGTGAAGCATTGCACAGAAGTGTCATTTGAGGGCCTGTTTTCAAATGCATTACATCTTATCCTTAGATTTATTTGATTGAGTGTTTTATTTAGAGAAAAAAAATTGAGAAATGTTTTCAGTGTATTTGTATTGAATGATTGTATTGTATGATTAGGTGGTTTGGTTTCATAAGGATAGACACACACTATTAGCGATGGAAAACACTGTTATTTTGCGTTCGGGTCGTATCTCCGTCAGTACTCACGCGGGAAATACCTTTAATCTCTATATTCATGACATACGAGAGGAGGACAGCGGAGAATACATGTGTCAAATCAATACAAATCCTATGATAAGTCAAAGTGGTTTCTTACAGGTCGTCGGTATGTAATCCCCAGTTATATATATGTTTATTTTCGACTCCAATGAACACCCATTAATGTGTTTGCCTTAACTGCTTGTCTGATAACATGTATTCCGTGTGATAACTGGCAGTTCCGCCGCGTTTTACCCAAAAATTCACGTCTTCTGATGAAGAAGTGCGCGAAGACTCGTCCGTTAGTCTGAGATGTAGTGCCAGTGGTTTTCCTAAGCCTCACATCAAATGGCGCAGAGAAGACGGTCAGCCCATTAACATACAGCCCATACAGCCTAACGGCACCACAAAACTCAGTCAAAAAGGTTTTGCAATTCAATGTTTAAATCTTTTTTTAAAATATAATTTATTACACATTTGAATATAAAAGCGAAAGTTTTCCAGAAAATCGATGCATGACTTTAATGTTGAAATCTTTTTTGATAAATTAAATGCTATAAATATTTGCATAAATTAATTAATAAAATGATTTTAAGCATTTAAATTAGACAAATATAGCATTTAAATGATTGCCTAAAAATTACTTAAAATAATAGATACGTGAATTGAGTGCTAATCCAAAAGTACTTTATTGTTTATTTTGATAGAAAATGCAATAAATGGAGAGTATCTGAACATAACAAAAGTGACTCGTCTTCATATGGGTTCGTATGACTTTTATATCATGTTTTTAGTCCACATTTATTAAGTCTTTTCCAGTTTTGCTTAAATCTGAAGCTTTTGAATGTGAGGTCATATTTATTGCTACTTTCAAAGAATTTATTGCTTATATAACTAGTGTTAACAACTGTTCCGACTTTTCCCACACAACAAAACTTAATTTTATGATTTTAGCTAATGTTTTGCAAGCGATTGTCTTTAAATGCATCCGTTTTAATATCATTTGAATTGATTATGAAGTTTTGATAGTAATTATTTCCAAATACTTTCAAATATGAAAATCTATTAAATAGTTTATAATTATTGTAACACAAGAATTGTTGTGAATAAAGAGTTGGTCTTAATATAGTGTAACTCATTTTGAATGAAGTCATCACTTAAGTTATAAGTAAGATATATAATATAGGATTGAATTGAGGCCAAAATACTTATATCATATAAACACAAACATTTCAAAAATATTAGTTCTTTATTGAATTAAATATTTTTATTTTTTTGTACTCATTTTAGTCAAAATAGTGTTTAGGTTTGTCTCAAACAATTAATTTTGTGTATATTTTAATTGCATTTGAAATATAACTTATTATTTATAAAACACTATAAAGATGTGTATGGAGACAGTGGAAGGTTTTGATACATTAGTTACTTGTAATACAAATAATAATACAAAATAAACAAATAATACAAATGTATATTAATTTATGTACAATTTTAGACATTATTTGGTCTCTCTGTCTCTTTGCTATCCAAATAAAAGTGAGTTATAGTAAAGGCATAACTGATATGACATAGTATTATAACTTTAATAATAAGCAATTGTATGTGATTTTCTCCTTCCTATTGTGTCTTCAATACGATATATTCGTCTCGTCTATTGTTACAATGATTTTTGCTTTATTTCCATCGGATCTCAATCTCCGTTAATATAAATAGATTCATACATTTGTTTTTATTTTAGTTAATATTATTTTTTCTGTTTATTTAGTAGTTAATAAAACTAAAAATCAATAATTCAATTAAAATTAAATAAATTAAAATATTATTTTATTACAATTTTTCACTTATTAATGCATTTATTGTTTGCTTTTATAGGAGCATATATTTGTATTGCAAACAACAGGTGAATATTTACAATTTATATAGAATTTAGATGTTTAAATAATTTTAAAACTATAAATATATAATAATATATTATTATATATTTATTTGTTAATAACAATTTATAATTTATAATATACACAATGAAAATAATAGTTTGTTTATTATGTATTGTTTTTATTAATATGTAATATAATATATAATAATTCAAAGGGTTTTCATTTTAGTAATCTTAAGGATAAACTAGATTTTATAGCCATTGCTTAGTATTTATATTAATGACTATAGGATTGATAGGATTGATAGTGATGTCAGCGGCCGGTAATGCTTTAATATAATAGTGGACACGAGAATCATTATTCAATCATATGTTTGTTATATTATTAGTCAAACTATCGCTATTTGCTAGCATTTGAAACAATGTGAATATAATATATCGTATATTATATTAATAAATAAAATACAAAACAATCGATACATATAGTGATACATTGAAATAAATTTTATTCGCTTTGTTTATTCATTAAGTTATGGAAATGTTTGTTATTTAAAGTTAATAATGAATTGAAATGTTTGTTCATTTCTAGTATACCACCGGCTGTTAGCAAAAGAATCTTTTTAGGAATAAAATGTAAGTCAAATTCAATCAATCAATAAATGGTTAATCACATAAACAGGTCAATGATATCCCAATACTCCCATTGAGACTCATTTCCTGCGCTCTTAGACTCGCAGATCAAACAAACAGATCAATACATGACTTCAAACATACCATTTAATGTTATGTTCACTGAAATACTATATTCTGTTTTTGCATTCAAATGCTAACATCTTTTTCAAAACTGTCCGTCTTTTCCCATCTTTTTTTAAATATATTTACAACCATTGGAAAAACTTTTAGTAGAAACAGAATTTCTTACTAAATGTAATTTAATGATATATTTGTCAATAAATTTATGTTGCATTAGATATAGATAAACAAACAAAAACCTAAAACTTATTTAGATGAATTAGAGATAATGTCACTGATAAGTAATATAAGCATATATTTGATACATTTGGACACATAGTCTTCTAAAATATTAATTTCACTTAATATTCAAAACCATATATAAAATATGGAGTGAATATCTCATTGATATAGTATATACAGTACGGCATTATATTTGGTTGAATAGAGAGAATAGAGAGAGTGTGTATTTGGTTGAGCACAGCGTACAGTATCCTTAAACATGGGTCAGTCCCCGCTTTTATTAAATCTTATTTTCGCTATCTTTTAGGGCTTATTGAAGTCCCAGTGCTCACTGAAAGGGAAGACTTTTATTATATAAAGTCTTTGTGTGAATACAGTCTATACAATAGATTATTCGATATTAGATCTTATTCTCTGAGGTCTTCAGTCTCACAATTTTTGAAATAAAGAAAAACAAAAACATTGTTTTGAATCAATTCATGCAGAAATTGTAGGCATCACTGAAAAAAGGGAATTACATTTTATATATGATTAACAAAAACACCACTAAAATGATTAATAGCCATCAATGAAACAAATGTTAAGCCATTGGCTTTGCTTTCTCTTCACAATTATTGATATGACTTTCAAATTGAATGCAAATTCTTTGACACCAGTTGTAAAATAGATATCTATTCGACACAAGAATTTTGGTTTCAATTTTATAATTAATCATAACTTTTTTGAGTTTATGTCTCGTAATATTGTTCACAAATATATCATATATCAAAATCATACGAAATAGTCTCTTAAACATTGAGATTATTTGTTAATTTTGGCAAAAAGTTTTCAATAATAAAAAAATTAATTTATTGTAAAAGCTTTTACTAGTATTAGAGTATTGGGTTGTTTTGTCACAAACATATTCCTTTCAAACCATTAACAACCTCTTTCTCCCTCCAACTCTCTCTCTCTCTCTCTCTCTCTCTCTCTCTGTCTCTTTGCTATCCAAATAAAAGTGAGTTATAGTAAAGGCATAACTGATATGACATAGTATTATAACTTTGATAATAAGCAATTGTATGTGATATCTCTCTCTCTCTCTCTCTCTCTCCTGTTAGTAGCAATTTATTACCCAAAAGAGGGGTCAATACTTATATATCAAAATAAATGTTCATTTTTTACAATTTGCCGCAAAAATCAAATTAAATTATAACAGAGAGTATAAATTGTAAACAAAATCATTTGCTAAGACTTTTCTTAACATTTTTCCAATTGATTTCCGATTGATTATAGGTTTTGTTTTAAGAAATTAATATCAATTTAAAATTTATCTATTGGTAAATGTTTTGTAAGTGTTGTATGAATTATCGCACTATATATTCGTCATGTTTCATTTTGAATATAATTATATTAATTTATAAATGAAATATAACTTATAAAGATCCCTATTTAGTCTACAAACTGTGTATTTAATTTTTTTGTGAATACAGAATTTTAATTAATACAAGATTTTAAATGTTATATCAGTGGCAATATTATTATATAATTTCTATGATAAAATGACATTTAAATAATTTAATAAATACATTGTATGAGTTCAATACAACTTGCAATGAGTGTAAAAATATGGATCTTTTGCAATCATGCTTTATACGCAAAAATCTTAACTCTCTATCACTTTTATACAGAATAATAGATTTTTAACATTAAACAAGGTTTTCGAAGCAAATCGATAAATTAATCTCAATTTGAAAGAAACATTCAAAGATACCGACTTGAAAACTATAATATGTTTTCCAATATGTTTATGGAAATGTTCCTTGTTATAAAATTCATTTTAGTTTTTTTTTAACTATTGTTATTATAGAAACTCGTTTAAAGTGATCAACTGATTTTCATATTGAATTAAGTTTAAAAATGCAGTTGAATCAATATTTTTGGATATCTTGAAATACAAAAATATCGTAATATATCTTTGTATGTATTGGCAATTATGTATAATATTTTATTACAATATTGGTGACAACAACTTTTATCATATTATTTATATACATTTAATGCTTTCTGTATGTCTATAATGTATCAAAAGGGGAGAAAACAAGTAGGATGTTATTAAATTAAAATGTTAAAATCTGTACTTAAGTTAATTATATAGAATAATTATTAGAATTAATTATCTAAATAAAATTAAACACAAAACAATAATTTATTGTTGAATAATTGACATTTAAATAATAATTTTAATTACTTTAAGATTTTGAATATTAATAGAATGTGATTTAAAAACTAGTTTCGCCACTAATATGGCCACCAAATCAATTGATTGGGTCTTCGGTTGGAAGCGATGTAATACTTATATGCAATTTAGAGTCACATCCAAAGGCAATCACTTCTTGGATTCGAGACAGCGATCGAGCGATTATACACTCAAACGCTAAATATTCCACTTCTGTTGAGTCCACTGATAGTGAATACAGGAGTGAAATCAGGTATTTATATAATCATGTGTTTTGTAATTAAAGAAATGCTTTAAAAAATATAATTAGTTAATTATTATTATTTTACACAGATTAAAAATTATAGATTTAAAAGCATCTGATTTTGGGACTTACACGTCAGTATTGATATTGTTTACAATTCGTAAAATCTATTGGTTTGCAAACCATTAATAATTAACATGAATTGAATAGATGTTTAGCCAAAAATACTTTGGGTGAAGTCGAGGCCAGTATTAAGTTATTTGAAGCGCCAAAGTCTTCATCGGAACCGAAATTCGCAAAGGAATACAAGTCTAAAAACAAGAATACTTATCAGACTATGATTTCAGTTGGTTTTGATGATAGAGGAGATGGAGGTAATGATCCGCTTTTTATGATAATTAATTGTTTTATAATATAAATTAATGATTTATTGTAATAATAAATTATAATTAGAAACAAATCAAAATCGTGCCGTCGTTTTGACGGAAGTGTTAAATTTTGAGATGACTTCAGAGCACATAACACTTCAGACCGAAGAGAGAGTTACCGTTAATTCACACAATCATCGCTCAGAGACTACAGACGCGTCCATTCGCTTCTTACCTAATATTGTGGTTATTGTTTCCTTCGATATATTATATATTTATTTTTTATTCGTTTAAATAATTTATAACTTTTTCATTAATTACAATAAAAAGTGCTTAAAATATATTTTTGATTCAACGGATAGTGTGTTTAAAGTTTGTTTAAAATTCGGATAGATTTAAAGATCTAAATATTTAGACAGAATTGTTTAAGTAACTTGTTCAATTGATTTATTTGATTGAAACAAACTATGTGTTCTTAACACTACGTGGTTATGTTACCATCATACTATTTAAATACAATAAGCATGGTTATTTTTGTTTTAAGAATTAATTTTATGACATAAATTGACGAAATGATGGATGGAGAAGATGTGCCAAATACTAACTTACATTCATGTATACAGTTATGCACTTATTGTTGGCTTTTATATTAGTACTGATAGAAATAAAGTAATTTTTGTATTTATTGTAAAATAAACTCAATCTTTTAATTAAGTTATTATTTTTATTTTTGAATTTGAGTTTAATTTCTGTTATAAAAAATACTTATTACTATTAAATTCTCATTATATAATAATATGTTTAATGAATAAACATTTGTACAAATATTGTAAACATTGTTTATTGAGAAATTCTTTGTGATTTGTAAATTAATTCATTTTTCAACTAAATTTGATTAAATTTAATATTTATTTGATTTTTAATAATTACTATTTAATGAAAAATATAAATTCAAATATATAGCAAAGAAATACTATTAAAACAATTCTGAATATAAAAATATTTGTGTCATATTTTAAAAGATTTCTAACGATAACTATATAACAAAAGATTGAAATATAATTAATTATTTAATTAAGAATTTGAGAATTTACTGCAACCGCAAGACTAAACTCTTTCACAGAATAAATTTATTTACAATAAAATAGCTTTAATATAAAAATGCATAAATTAATAATTATTTTGATTACAACAACTAATTGTCAGAATTATGTTTAATTAGCGATTTTGCAATTTTTAAATAATATTATTTTTAAATTATTTAAATTAAAAGAACAACTTGTATATATCAAGTTTGGCAATTCTAGAAAATACCATGGTATTCTAACCGATAAATCCACAACAATTACAAGTTGTCTTATTTAAAGACACAACTGATCGCTAATGAAGATCCTGATTAATCATTGTTAACATTTTAATTAAAACCATTTACTAAAACGAATTTTATAAACAACTAAAATTTTCAGTTCAATTTAATTCTTATACTTGCATAATGTAAATAATGTTAACTATTGTTTTTGTATCAGTAAACAACATATAGGGTGGGGAAAAAAGTTTCCGAACTAATACCAGCTAGTTTAAATTAAAAATACAAGAAACTTATATATAATAAGATATATTTTAAATACATTTTAATCCTTGTCTACAAATCTATGTAAACTATTTGTCTCTATCTGTTGTGGATCCGAAGATAAAAGGTTTATTAATTCAATATTTAACTTGTTGAAATATTTATTTTACAACATTTATTAATATCATATTTTACTTCCCATTGGATAACATTGCCAAAACATTTTCAGGTAATAACCTCTTCAGATAACCATATCTTCGAATACATTAAAAATAGTTTACGTAGATTTGTAGCCTAATAAACACATTTTAAAAGTATACCCTATTATTAATAAGTCTCCTGTAGTTTTAATTTAAACAAGCTGGCATAAATTCGGACACTTTTGTTCCCCACGATTCACTATCTATATTTTTACCTGATTTCCATTCTAAATCTATGATTGATTGTTAATAACTATAAAATTGAAATTAACATCAATTTACAATTTAAAATAGATTTTATAGAAAAATAATTATTAAAACAATTTAAGCAATAATACGATACCATGTTATGAGACGATAATGTTTGTTTCTAATTTATATCAATCTCCACCATAGTATAAAAGTGCCATTCAAAAAGTTCCCGTAAATATTTTTTAGAAATAAAGTCATTTATAATAAGAAAACCTAAAATATTTTAATTATTATAATATAGATTTAATTTACAAATTATAAAAGTTAAATGAATAATAAACAATTGATTGCAATAATGATGTATATTATTTTGAGAGTTTGTATATCGAGAGTTTGGTGTGTCTTCATAATGGGATTCTGGACTCATTTCTTCAAATACTTTCTCTTCAAAATTAGTTGTATTTTTGAAATCATTGGTAATTATATTCTCCGTCTCTTCAAAAGTAGTAGTAGTAGTGGTTTGGACTCCATATTCATAAACTAAAACAACAATTATTAATATAATTATAATTTATTTACACAACACAATCAAATTTTAAAAACCATGTATAATCCATGTAATTTATACTTAAATAATCTAGATAATTTTAAGTACTGTCACTGTTTATTTTTCTTTATTAAATCCATTGTGTTCTCAATGACAAAATCGTGTGATCAATGACTTAATCAAATAATATCCTTGTTTTACTAATACTGGTATATTATATGACAAATTTTGTAATTAATTATAAGTATTATTTATCTTGCACTTAATAAACTCGGTTAAGTCAATATCATTTAACACTCATTGTTCGTGTTATTACAATTAAATTAAAATGCTTTCGTTGATTGGGGTTACAGTATATTGAAAGTAATAGTATAACTAAAATAAATTAATAATCATATGAAAAAATTAATTTTAAAGTGAAAACTAAAACACTTAACGCTTTTATGTAAATAAAAAAGTTTAAATAAATCTGCAGTAATGACTGAATATATAAATAGTTAATCAAAGCTATTGCTATAATTTATTTTTGTATTTTAATATAAAAGCACATGATAGTGAACGAGCAGTGAATATCTAGGCGTAAAAATTATTAGTTGTTTTGATTACCATTAAGAATGATTGTACTCCTTATGGCTCCCAATCGGTTATTTGAAAGGCAAACATATTTTCCGGCGTCTCTAAAGTCTAAGTCAATAATTGTTATAGGCGTAAAAATTATTAGTTGTTTTGATTACCATTAAGAATGATTGTACTCCTTATGGCTCCCAATCGGTTATTTGAAAGGCAAACATATTTTCCGGCGTCTCTAAAGTCTAAGTCAATAATTGTTAATTTAAAGTATACTTTAAAACCATTCGTATCAACAGTTTTAACAGAATATTTGTTTGATTTGTTTAAATCTATGATTTGATTGCCCAACGAATCCATCCAAAAATGTTGAGCTTTAGGATTGGATTCTGTGATACACTCGAGAGTTATGTTATGTCTGACATAAGACAAGACCATTTTGTTGGGAACCGTTATCGTCGGCGGAACTAAATTTACAAATGAAATCATTGTTTTAATATAACCATAAATATAACATCATTTGTATCCGTGAGGTATGTCTTACACTCGACTTCTAGGTATATATTCCTTCTGATCGATGGATTGATTTGGTTGGAAGCGATGCACACATAGTAACCGATTGCCATACGACTCACTTCTGTCAAATGCAATACTTCTGATTCAACCGATTCTGTCATTTTAGCCACAAATGCGTCCATTTTAGAAATAAAGTGAATCTTGTTTTATATACTGTTTAATCAAACCTATTATTTGGTTAGTGTTAGTGTCGATGGGGAGCGGCTGACCGTCTTGTTTACGCCAAATTATTGACGGCTAAAAGATAACAATAATGTTAAGTATATTTCACTTAATTTGTTGACTAAATTTAGTATTTAATTCAATATACAGTAGAAAATACGATAAACCTTAGGATTTCCGGTCGCTTTACACGTGAGGCTAACATTTTGTGACTCTCGGACTTTGACCACAGAATCGCTTTCCATTGATTGCATTTTATCGAATTGAAGGGGAACTACATATTGAAGGCATCACTTATTAGTTATATTTTAATTTCTTGTAACATTATTATACAAATTTTATATATTGTTAAATAATTTATAAAATTTTCTGATAGCTAAATTAAAATCTGGCCACACTATAATCTATAACAGTAATCACTATAATCATTTTTATATAAATTTACACAATTACACAAGTACCTTAATAATAAATCTAAGTTTTAAAACCTAATTATAATGATTTTTGATTTATAAATATTATATTCTAATATTGTTTTATTTAACATAAAAATAAATTACAATAGTTTTAGTATAGTTTACTACAAAGACTTTTTACCATAATTGTGTAAAACTATATATGAAAATTGTGCCTTGTAAGATTGAAGATTCATGCAATACTATTCATGAGGCTAATGCTAATTTTATGAGTAGTTTTCAAAGATAATGCTAATCCTATGGGAATTTCTATAAACTGTATCCACATTACACCAATTTCAAATTGCTGCTTCTCAAATTTGGTTTAGTCTTGGGATTTGCGTGCAAACCATGTTTAATAAATAATATTTTGACATAGCTTACAACACTTTTTTTAATATTCTGATTTAAACACTGATTTGCCCATGATTAATTTATAAATATGATTAATGCTATTTAAACAATAATAATATATATTTACCAAAAATACTCAAGAATTTGAGTAATCTTTTTGGGGGCGAAGTATTGATTTGACAGATATAATACCCGGAATCACTTAACGTAACGTTTCTGATAATCAAACTCCTGTAATAAATTACAATAATTTATAACAACAAATGGATCCAAATATTCAGGTAATCTG